TGTTATAAAAAAAATTATCAATAAAACTTAAATATCTCCTTAATTTTATGATTAAAAATCACTTTCCACAAACTTTGTACGGGATGAGACTCATACTCGGTCGTTACTAAAAGTTTAAGTTTTTTCCATTCTCGTAAGGCACTATCTCTATTAAAACCAGCATTTGATAATGGTTTCTCAAAATGGTCACTAACTACTTTGATCTCTGTCACTCCAGAGTCTTTATCTTCCAATATCCAGTGTATTGAATCAACGAATTTCATATTTTTATAAATTATAAATTCACGAGAATAATCTTTAAATTTTTTTTAATTTGAAATTTAATCTTTTTAATTTCATTTATTTTCTTAATTGTTTTTTCTTGTTCAAAGTTGTTCATCTCCATTGTTATATTAATGTAAGCACGATTTTTTGCGTGTTTTCTTTTTTCGCCGGCTCTTTGAAATGAGCCTTCAATTTCATTTTTATCTATCATCAAATAGTGCATTACGAAGCTGTCATAGAATTCATCTACTTCTCAATTGATTTTATTTTGCTATCTATTTCTATTAAAGTTCGTTTTATAGTTGTCTAAATTTTGTGTGGTAGTAACTCATTTTTTTCAAAAATTTTAGAAGCTGGAATAATAACTTTCAAGCAGTCTAAATATAAACCAACTAGAACAAGAAAAGATTGGCATTTGAATAACTTTAATAAACCTTTAACTTTTCCAACACTTTTGACATTTTTTAGATCACTCACGTAATTTTCATAGGCTGAAAGAAAAGCTGGCCTTATCTCGAGTAGATTAAACAGTGCTTTTCTCCTGTGACCAACAAACCTTGTTCCGGTTATTTTTGGTAATCTGTAATAAGTTATTCCTAAGACTTTCGCAGCTGCTTCAACTTCATTTTTTAACTTACCTGAGTTTCAAATAATAGCAAATAATAGTTCAATAAATAAAACTCTTCAATTTTTATAAAATCTGTTATTTCTTTAAAAGATTCTTTTATTGCCAGTTGGATTCGATGGTTTATGCAATGAATTATTAGTAATCATTCTTGATTTTGTTGCAACTGCGTTAGGATACCATTGTTTACACCAAAATTGACGCTTGCACCGTCAGCTGTGGCTGACACTGATTTTTTGTTATAATTTTCCACACTTATTTAAAAAAACAAATTATCTGATTGAAAAACACTGTTAATACCGGCAGTTATTGCGTTTGAGTTACTGCCACCAAATTATGAAATTTCCAACAACTCTGTAACCATATAAATTGGCATTCGGTTGCGCTCTGTGCGCACTAAAACAATTTCTTAATCTTTTCCCGTTTTTCAGGCTTGACTTCCGTCACTAAGTATAGAAAAGAAATTACATCTTGATTTCTCTGACATCTCAAATTACATCTGAGAATTTTAGAGCATTTCTCACAAACAGTATTGGCACAACACTTAATTAGTTCCCAGCCAGTAAATCCAGTCTCTTTACGCTTCATTAAGCTTGAACCTCCAATACGCGCGCACTCAATCTTAACACATAGTAAAATATTGATTTAAATAATTATTATTGTCACATAAATTATTAGAAACATATATAAATATAGTTTGAACTTATTTTGTATATATTAGGCAAATACATTCGTAAAAATAAATAATTTAAGAAGAAACTAAAACTTATGAGAACAGAAAAATGTGCATGGGGCATGGTTGGACAACAAGCTATTTCATAAGCTATTTTCACCAAATTTCGGTAGTAAGCATTTGTGTGTTTTTCTTTCAACGTCAATATTTTTGAACTGTAACTTATGGAAAGTTTCACTAGTTCTGCCTGAAAGACATAGTATATACAATTTTTAAATAGGTCATAATTCACCTTTTAAAAAGGCTGTTTCACTTAATATAAAAGCAAGCTTGGCGTAACAATTTTTTTGTGTTTATCAAAAAAAAAAAAAAAATTACCAAAAAAAGTATAAAAATGCACCATTTTAAAATAATGGTATTATTTTATATAAGCGCTTTAATCTTTAAAAAATAAGAAATATATAAAAATTATCTGTCCTTGATTTAAAAGAAATATGTAAAAGATTTTTTTTTAAATAAATATATACATTAAACGAAATATAAACAAATATTGCTAACAATTTGGGATCACTTTTCTGTTTTTTGAGACTTTTACAGAAAATCAGTATTGGGCCAACTAAGATTTTGTCACACAGCTACATGCTTGATAGTGACAACTAATTACAAAAATTTAGCGAAGTTCATTATTTACTGCATTTAATCTGAAATTGAAGAAAGAATAAATTCATTTAATTTCATTAGATAAAATGTTTTATTGTTTTTTATATTACTTTTACAAAACAAAATCTTTAATATGTCAAAAGTTACAAAAGTTGTAATAAGTGATTTAATAAATAAAGTGATTTAATAAATAAAGTGATTTAAAAAAAAACAAGAAGCTGTCTAGGGTCACTATATTGAGCCAATACCTCTCAAAATACCTTTTTAAAAGCAAGTAGTTTACTTTTGATTTTGCCACTGAATTGTGTTATCTCAATAACTCAAGATCTCCAAGCAACCAAGATCTTTTTTGCAGGAAGGAGACAAAGTGCCATAATTTTTCGTGCCCACTTCTTTACTTGAATTTGGTGGCGATATTCCCTCTGAAAACCAAGAATTGCTAATTGCTTATTGATTGCATTTTCGAAATGAAACCTAAAAATAAGGATTTAAAGGAGATCATTAATTGGTAACAAACTATGAGAAACTTTGATAACTTGGAAACTGGAAACAAAGTAATAACTTATACATGCAACCATTCACCAAGCTTTCACTCCAAGTTGTTCCTAAAGCATTCTGTAGGCCTTTTTTCAAAATCTGACATAATGGTGGCTGAAGAGAAATCTAAAACTTCTTTTTATAGAGCCTTTTTTTTATAGAGTTTCTATAGAGCCTCAGATTTGAATGTCATTAAAGCACATACAGCTGGAACAGATGTGCCCCATAGGTGAGGGTTATCAGGATTAAAATTCATCTGATCCTCATCTGGAATTGGATTTTCAAGCACTGCTGAATACTCAGCAGAAAATATCAAGAGCTGATACCACTTGCTTTTCTCTCACATAACTGTAAATAAAAGTGTTCTACCTAATGTTTTTAATATATCAATTTATGGTGTAATTGATATATTAAATATATTAAAATAATGGCTGTCTATTAATTACGTCAACAAAATAAGGGGGTCTGAACTTTTTTGACAATTGTTGACAAGGGTGAGGGAGGAGATCAAATAAAGTTGACAACAACAATATTTATTTTTTTAATTTTATTGCTCAAAAAAAGAACAACTAGGCTGCGTTTGTAGCGTCTTTATTTAGGGAGGAAGGGGTTATCAAAAGTTAACATAATTTTATAGGGGGTCACTGGAAATTTGACAAATTGTTGAAAGGGGAGGGTGTGAGTTTAAAGTTGCAAAAAGTTTGTTGACGTAATTAATGGACAGCCTCCTAGATAAATATATGTGCTTCTAGAACATATATTTCTTTGAAAAAATTAAATGCATACATATAAATACTTAAATGTTCCATCAACAAAACACACTTTCGCCAATTTCGCCTTGTTGTCTTGCATATGCCCAAACAGCAAGGCTACATTGTCCTAAACTGCAGTTGATCCCAAAAAAGTCTCTTGCTGAAGCTGTTGAAGTTCTGAATGACATTCTTGTCATTCAGAACTTCAACAGCTTCTTTTGGTGATTTTGGGTACAAGGGCTCATTAAGCCTTCTCCTTTTCTGAAGACTTGGGATAATTTGAGGAAAATAAACAGATTCAGAAACAACTGCAGGAAACTCACTCACAGTGTTGTGAAAAATTGAGCGTAGGTCTTCAGATGTTGCTTCTGCTTTTTTCTTCATGGTACTTTTAGCAAGCAGCACTTCAAAGTCTGTTTCTCCTGAACTGCAACTGTGACCAGTTGTAAGCTGAAGTTTATTTTCATAAACAAAAGCTCTGCCTTTGCAATTTTTTGATAAATTCTCTAACTTCATTTTGGAATATTGAGTTTCTTAAAAATTTCTTTAACTTCAAGTTTTAAATCTAATGGAATTTCATTGCACATACAAATTAAACTGTTCATTTAACTTGCTGTTCTCCATTGTAGATAATGCTAACTTCGTGTAAAGTTGATGTTATATTTAAGGGAAAAGTTAGGAAATATTCATCGAACTCTTACATAAGTATCTTATTGAAAAGGGACTAGGTATTAAAAGTTATATAATATGATATGTGAATAATATATACGTTATGATATGAATATGATATGACATGTGTGTAATATATATATTAGATATACATTATGAGGGGGGATCAAGCATTTTATGATGTTTGAGAAAGCTAACTTCAAGACATGGAATAAGCTCCACATATTTATATGTTTATACTTATGTCAAATGAGGATGCTTTGCAAAAAATTGTGCTGATTGGAGCCTAGAAACAAAAAAGTCTTTAAATTTTGGCTGCAAGTGTTCCAAACGTGAGAGCAACAAACTGATAAAACATTTTATGCACTTTTCTTTTATAAACTTATTCAATATATTGATACATACATTACATTGATAGATTTTAAATTTTATACAATAATCTTTTAACTTTCAAAAATTATGAATGTATAAAATATGTACTGTATAAGTTTATACTGTATAAAGTTTGAACTCCCCTCAATTAGAGAGGGTTACAAATTTTATAAGGTATAAATAACAAAACATATAAATGTTTGGTGCTTGTTCCATGTATGTATAAATTTTTTCTTAAGTTTTTAAGGATAACTTAAATCTTTAAACTCTTTTAGTTTTCATTTTACTTTTTTTTATTTTTACTTTTAAATATTTGTCAAATTTTTGTGGGAGCTCCAGAAACTCTTATTTTGTCTTATATTATTGTCTTGTATTTGAACTGTATTATTGTCTTATATTTGAACTTTAAAATCTTATTGTTAGTAAAATTATAAAATTTTCTCGTTAGTCAATTGGTGAACCATCAACACAGATGACACTTAATACATTTCATTTTGCTGGTCAGAGTGACATGAATGTAACACTAGGAATACCTCGATTAAGGTATTAATAGTTACAAAAATAAAAACTTATCAAATAATAATGGTAACCTATATTTTGTTTTCAAAATACTTTAGAGAAATACTGATGACAGCTAGTGAAAATATACAAACACCACAAATGGATATTCTTGTTTGCACTGGAAAAGATGATGAGGCGAAAAAAATATGCAAACATCTCAATAAAGTAAATCTCATACAGGTTAAAAAGATTATTTCACTTTTAATTTTAAGTTGTTTTTTTTAAATCTGTTTAGAATTTTGTAAATAGAATATTTAAAAAGTTCAGGTAAATGACAGTGAATAAATGTCGTTTCTAGTGATTGACTGTTATTTTATATGAATGAGTATAACTTTAGATAAGTGAATGTTATTCATAGTGAATGACTTTTCACATCTACAACTACCATTTTAGTGAAATATCTGTTTTTCAGATAAATGAATCTTTTATTTTTGTTAGGTGATAAAGCATTGTCAGTGTTTGAATGTTTAACGTTGTTATTTTTTTAGGTGATGAAATATTTGCCAGTGTTTAAGTGTTTAACATTGTTGTTTATTTTAGGTGATGAAGTATTTGTCAGTGTTTGAATGTTTAACATTGTTGTTTATTTTAGGTGATAAAGCATTTATCAGTGTTTGAGTGTTTAACAAGAAAGTATGATGATAATACTTTGTGTCGTCAATTCAGGATTCGCATTGAGTTTCTACCTGAGAATATTTATGTTGACAATTATGATGTCAATCCTGTTTCAATTATCAAATATGTTGAAACTGTATTTATAAAAAAATTATGCATTCATATTTTGAAAGTAATGAAAGATAAAGAGAAACAGAAGTAAAAAATATATATACATATTATTGGTATTTTTTTAATTTTAAAGCTTTATGGGTATCACTACTTTTATGTTTTACAGATTAATTGAATCACACACAACAAGACTTCCTTCTGCTCCAGGTAAGTTTCACTACTAAGACCTCTTGTTGCTCATGATAGGTTTCAGTAAGAAGGTACTCCAGCCAATATAAAATAATTTCTTCAATTATAAATTATTAAATGTTTAATAATAAATTTTTTTGTTACAGCAAATAATGATGAAGACTCAAGGAATCCACCTGATGAGCCAGATGATGCAGCAGATTTATCTGATGATGAGTTTGGAGATGGTGATGCTGCAGCTACAAAAGAAATGAATAGAAAAAAACAAGTATTATTTTTTATTTTTAAAAACAAGTGTTTATATTTTTTATTTTTGAAAAACAAGTATACTCATATTTTTAACTTTTAAAGAAGTTTTTTAATTTTTTTATGAGTTGTTCAAAAAATAAAAACAACAATTATTTTTTATAATATGATTTTTTTCGCGAATATCAATTAACCATTTTTTTTTACATTTAGATGTTAAAAAAAGCAAAATGACAAGTGTATTTATATTTTTTAAAGAATAAATGTTTTTTTAAAGTGAATAAAAATGCTAATTTAATTAGAATTACAATTATAATAATGCTTAATGGAAAATTATTTGTTTTAATGAGAAAAAATTAATTAGTTTAAAGTTTTAATCTAAAATAAATATCTATACTTGATTTAAAAATTATAGTTCGTAACAATTACGAATTAACTTTTACAGTTACGCATAAAAGTTTAGTTAAGGTTTTTTTATGTTTTTAATAACAAAATATTTTTATTTTTTCATAATTAAGTTTAACTGAAATAAATTTTTTTCTGAAGTTTATTTATTTTGTTAAAAATTTCAACAACTGGAAAAATATATTCTAACACAAAACTTGCATTTTTAAAAACACTTTTTTTGGTTGATTATTATTATTATTTTTTTTATTAACAACTATTGCTGAAATAACTTGGAAATTGATTTCAATAGAGAAGCATAGTTTTTAGTAAATAATTTTTTTTTGATAATAAAGTAATATCTTTGTATTAAGTTTTTACTTGTCCTTCTTTTCTATTTTTTTAAATTGTGTTTAATAACTCTTTAACTCCAAAACACGAACATGGCTAAACAAGGCTGCCAAGGTACTACCAGGGGTGGGGATCAAACTTGGAATTTTTTGCTTACAAAGCAAGCACTCTACCACTACTTGATTTTCAATATTTTCAATAACTTTATACTGCTTTGGTTCCCTAGAGCACCAGATCTTAATCCTATAGCAATTAATTGGTCATGGATTAATATTCAGTTGGTAAACCACCAAGTTCAATCAACTGAGCATTTAAAAAGGTTCCTCATAAAATGTGCATTAAACTAGTCAAATCAATGCTGAGATAAGACCTTCTTGCTATCAAGCAAATGGAGAGCAATTTAAATATATATATATTTTTTAAATTTCTGTTCTAAATCTTAACTTGATTAAAGTTTGTGCAACTCATTTTTTGATGTTGTATGTTGTAACTCATATTTTGATGTTGATGATTTTTTGTAGTTATTTTTTTAACTATTTTTTATACTGATTAATATAAATTGTAGCGTTAAATGATTTTTCTTTTAAAAATTAAAAGATTAATTTATATTATTTTCCAGATTTTTTTTCAAAAAAAGAAACTTAAAAAATTTGATTAAAATTAATACCTTAATTTAACATTTGTGGATATCTGTGTATGAGCCATTTTGAATTTATTTAGTTTTCTTCTTATGATGATCCAGAAGAAAGAGAAGAAGAGTTGGAGGAAACATCTGAAATATGTATGTATTGTTATTGTTATGAAATATGTATTGTTTTAATTGTGTATTTATATAGTTATTATCTCAGTTGTTCGACTTTGATATTCAGTTCTTTAGTTTATAATCCAGAACAGTATATATTTATTACAGAACAGATATGAAACTCAAAACAATTTTCCAAGTTGTGTTGTGTTTGACTTTTTTTATTAGAATTTATTTATTATCAAGTTTTTTAGAAAAACAATACAGTAAACTCCCGGCTATTTGAACCTTCTAGGGGAATTAGAATTGAGAATGGGGAATGAGATGCTGTTTAAGTCTTTATCTTCTAAAAAACAAATTTAGAATAAAAAAATATAATCTTTACAATTTATCAAAAAAATTTATCAATGGAATTATGCTTTCCTAAACTTAGCTTTTGTCTCTTAGCTCCAAATTGACTGACACTTAACAGTCTTTCACAGGAAGATGTGCAGTCGCATGCAATTTAAACTTTAATAAAGAGAAAAAAATCTTAACAGAAGAGAAAATAAAAAAAATACTTAACTAAAGCAAAAACAAAAAAAAAAACTCATCAAACTAAAATTCTTAGTCTATTTAATTTAAACATTTTATGAATAAAAATTTTTATTCTTTGTTTTAACATTTGTACTTAGTTTTTTGTTTTTTAACTTGTTTAAAGATAAACATTTATCATAAAAAATACATAGTTATACAAGTAAAAAAAAAAAGCATTCATTAGAAGTGTTTTGTTACTTCATTAAAAAATGTTTCAATAATATAAAAGTATTTAAGATCAAAATTATTTAGTTGTAAAGGCTTTCTAATACATTTGTCTTTTCAATGAAATTTTGTTTATCTTTTTAAAAGTATTAACTTTAATTATTCTTATATTAAAATTCGTTAAAAAGGCTTTCGTTGTCTTAGAATGTCATCGTTTATAGAAACAAAAATTTTTTTTATTTTTTAATAATGTTTATTATAAAAAATACACACTTTAACAATTTATAAATTATAAATTAAAAAAATATACCGTAAAATCGCCTAAGTTTGGTCACTTAAGCTTTGAACATTTATCACGCATAAATAAAAAAATTTTAATTTTTTTCCCTGAAAAGTACAAAAAATTATATTCATAATGATAATGTTAAAATAAAAAAATGAATAATAAAAACTAGTACTTAATATTTAATTTAAAATGAAAACATCCACTTTGACCAAACTTTCAATACCTTCTCATAAGTTTGGCCGCTATATAAACACTAATAACTTCTTATCACAAAGGTAATGTCACAAGTTATGAAAATTAATTTTTAAATGTTGTTTTATTGTAAAATATGATATAAATTTAGGTAATACCAGTAATTAAGAAGGGCGTTGCCCCAGGTTCAAAAAAAAAAAAGTCTTTTTGGGGCGCCAAAGAAAACAAGAAAGAGCACATAAAAAAAGGCCTTTGAAATATAAGAAGAAGTATTTTTAATTTTTATTGTAATTTTTCAACTATTTTATTACTTTGGCTATTATCACATTTGCTATGCCACTGGTTAATAAAATTAAAAATATATTTTTCAATTAATTTAAAAAGGTTTTTTCAATTAACAAAAAAAATACTACTTTGCTTTAAATGAGCTTTGTATTTTTATTAGCAATTCTTCCATGTATCATTGACCATAGTAGAACAACAAGATTTACACAACCAATTATCACAGGATTTGTAACGCATCCATAATTGTCATTGAGCTGTAATTTTATCTCCAAAAAAAATGTCACAAGCTTGATATTTTTTAGAACTAGAAGAAAAGTCAGTTAATTTTAAAATTATGAATAAATTTTTTATTCAAATAAAATACAATGGTGTGTATCCATTATGAAAATGTCAAAATTTACAGGTAAAGTTACCAGTAAATTTTACATTCGCAACATTTATCAACATTTCACAATATTACTGCTAATTGTCTCCATGAATGAAGTTAAAGTATTTCAAAATTTCACTAATTTTTATAAAAAAAGCAGTAATTTTTCAAAAATTAATAGTTATTTTGTAAATATAATTAATTTCGTGATTCTCAGTAATACTAAGATTAAATTTGATCATTTATTTTAATAGTTTGCTTATTTTAGATTTTAATAGTATGCATTTTTTCAAATTATTGTTTTGCTAAAGAATTATTTCACCAGGTTGCATATGAACATTTTTTTTTTTTTAATAGATTCATATTTACGAACTAATTACAAATATTATTTGAGGAAAAAAAGTTTGTAAAATTTGAGTTTTGCATGCTTTTTTTATATTTTTTCTTAAATGACCAAAGTTACATGGGGATCAAACTATGACAATTTTAGGGTATACAACTGTCAATTATACTTGCCATCAACTTTTAGCCAAAAGAGCTACAGCCCCGTGTTGGTGTGGAATAATGTGCTATGAAGTTAATGTGTTTTGAGGAACACTAAACTTTTAGACTAAATTAGGTTTTTTGAATTAGAAGATACTTACAGATCAAAAAAACAATTTAATACATTCATTGAGTTAAGTGAACTTTCAAAAAGATAATTAAATAGAGATTGTGTCTCTTCTTTTAAAAAAATGAAATACCAATGATGGCAGATACAAAGATCACGTAACTTTTGCGAATTTTTGTATTTTTTTTTACAGAAAAAAAAAAGTCTGGCTTCATACCTTAAAAACAGTTAATATATTACTTATCAAGGCTTAAAACTACTCGTGGTGCATTCTGTAAAGAAAATAGAAAAAAATACAGTGCTTAAGCACTTAAAAATATTTAAGATATTAAAATTTATCAACAAATTAGCCTGGATATAATACCACAAAAAACAGTTTTATACAATGAAAGGCATCAAATTTGCACTCCAAAACTATATATTTTTTAAAAGATAGACATTATGAATCTTTAAAAAAGAAATTAAAATATCAGTGATAGTGGACATTATTATCACGTGAATTTTCAAAAAAAAAAATTTAGTTAAAATCAAACACTCTAAAAAAGCTGTCAATTTAGGGGTCATTTACAAACTACATCATTAAATTTTCAACTATTTGAGACCCCTCCCCTCTCCTCATCACAACATCGTAACACTTTAGTAACAAGTTACGTACGAGTTGTCAATAAACCACTAACATCCCCGCTCCTACCCTGCTCCTCCCCCCCTCCCATCCCTGAAATGTGATGTCATTAATGGACCCCTTGTTTCTATTACAGAGCTTTAGAAATTAGTTTATTACGGCTAATTTTCAAGCTGAGCCTTAAAAGGATAAAATCAAGTAGTTTTGATTAATGGCTCTGCTAAAAAAAAACTTTAATTATTGATTTATTAATAACTTAATAACTTAATAATTTATTTATTAAAAACAAATAATATTATTATTTGTTTTGGTGCAAAAGAGTTAAATGGACGGCTTTTAAAATAAATGTTTGTAAACTTTTTTATATTGTGCACCTTGATATGAACAGTTCTTTAGGTTTGTTTCTTAGGAATCCATTAATTTTTAATTTAAAAAAGTGCATTTTCTATTTTAATGAAAAACACTCTGATTACCACTGTCACTAAAAAACACTAGGTGGATGTGGTTTTTAGCTCTAACCTTAAACAGAAAATTTAGGAACTATATATGCAGCTAAAACAAATTTTGTTTATTCATGCATGCATGTGAATCACTTAAAATAATATGCACATCATTTTTTTGGTTGAATTTGTTAATCAATTAGCTGTGCTGGTCTGTGTGGTCTGCTATTTGTATGTGCTCGTATGTGTGGTCTGCTTTTTTTCAAAAGCTAAATTCATATGTTTATGTATTTTTTATTTAACCGTAAAATTAAGAAAAATAATAAAGATAGTAAACAAAAAAGAAGTATATATATATATATATATATATATATATATATATATATATATATATATATATATATATATATATATATATATATATATATATATATATATATATATATATATATATATATATATATATTAAAAGAGAGAAAACAGCAGTATTAAAAAAAGACTAATAACAAAAAAAGTTGAAAGAGTGGGGTGTGGGACATGAGTGGGGTGTGATGACATAAAAAAAGTTGAAAGAGTGGGGTGTGATGCCATGAAAAATATTGAATGAATTAGTTTTACAACAACATTAAATAAAAAAATAAAACAAAAGTAAATAGTTTGATATTAAGATGAGACAAAAAATATGAAATCAAATATTTGCAACGAATACAATAAGCAACAGTACCACCAAAAATAATAAATAAAAATATGACAGTATAAATGAAACATATATTCATGACTAGAAAAACAATAAAGAAAAAGACACAACAATACAAGCAATCCACAAAAATACACAACAGTTTAAACAATACACAAAAATATATGACAATATAAACAATGCAAACAATATAAATTAATAAATCTATTTTTACATTTTCTAGATTCTAAAAAATGTAAAAATGGTTCTTTTTTATTTATTTTTTTCTATTTTCAAATTTTGCATTGTTTCTTTTAACTGTGTTTTTAGTTGTTTTGTTTTTTAATTCTTTTTTTTTTTTTCATTTTTTTTTTAATGGTTATATTTTGTTGTTTTTACTTAATTATTTGTTTTTTTATAGTTTTTTATTTTAAATAGTTTTCTTTATTTTTCTTATCCTCATTTATCTCTTGTTTTCATTTTCATTGTTAAAAAAACACTTCTGCCCCATTACAAAATTCACCAATCTTTTTAGTTATAAATATTTTGCTCTCACTTACTTTTTCTCTCTTTTGTATAAATCTTGGTCGCAAAAAGGTTCATGGGTTTCAAAATTTAATTCCAATGATAAATGTGGTTTTTATCTAGATTGATCAAACTCAAACAATTATGCATTCTGATTTATATTCTTTTTTTATTTAATAGTTTTACAAATTTAGTTTCAGCAAACATTAAGCAAGAACCTTTTGAAGATTATGAGGAAGAAAATGGTAATTTCTTTTCAAAATTATTAAGTTAATAGGAACAGGTATTGGTTCTGATGATTCTGTATTTTAAGGCAGTAATACATTTATTTTTGTATTTTATTTCTTTGATATTAAGTCATCTTTTTGTTTGCAGAAGAATTAAATGTTGATTCTGACCAAAAGCCTAAAAAAGGAATCAATGAAATTCACATGGATCCAAGAGTTGCGGTAATTTGTTTGATTCACTTTTAAATATAAAATTTTAGTTTAATACAAATTTAAGTTACTAGTAGTTAAATTAATATTTAAAAGTTAGTTGTTTATGGTTGAATAAAATTTCTATAATGTAATGGAATTTTGTTGTTTTTTTTTTATATTTTTCTGAAAGGTTTTTACAACCAAAATATTTTGGTTAGCAGCTATAAGTGCTTAAACCTACATCACTTATTATTTATTGTCACTTTTATTATTAGCATTATGTCATCTTCATCTTTAATGGACTTTTTATTTGCACTTCTAGTTTAGTGGCCTACTTTTAGTTTAGTGGCCTATCTTTAGTTTAGTGGCTGACTTTCTTTTGAGGAATTTTGTATATATAAAACTATTTGTCTCACTATTTTATCTGTTTTTTAATTTCTTTTCTTTGTTTTTCTCATAGAATGTTCTCAAGCGCGATCGCCACATAACTGGATACTTAGTTGATACTCAAAATCAATGGTTTGAAGTAACTCTACAAGTGAGCTCATTATTAGCTATTTGTTTTTATATTAGTTTTTATTATTTTTATCAAACTTATGTAATTATTTTTAGTTTCCTTTGGCTGGTAGCAAATTGATGATGACATCAATAATTGAGAAGTTAGCTGAAAAGGTTAGAGTTTTTTCTAATCAACATATATGGGTATGTGGACATATATAGAATATATAGAGCATTATATTCAGTATTTAATATGGTATTATCTACAATGCATGATATTTAGTAGCACATGTATTTTTAATCTAATTTATAAGACTAAAATAAAGATATATGTCTTAGTTTTATTCTTAATAACAAATAAACCAAAAAAGCGATTTTGTTATGTTACCAGTAAACAAAATTATTCTTACCTCAATTGTGTAGATTTCTTTTTTTTTTTCTAGCTGTTGACTAATGATTAACATAGTAAATTTCAAGCCATGAAATTTACATAATTAAAATCATGTTTTAACAGTAGACCATATTAAAACAATAAAGAACTAAAGAAATAAACAGATTTTTTCAAAAGTATAATACATCATTGTTTTAAAATTTTTAATTGACGTACCTTTTAAAGAACGTTTAACAACATTTAAAAGCAAACTATTAAATGATTTTGTTCTTGAACAAATAACATAGAGTTGGTTATTTGCTCAAAAACGTGCAACATAGTGTTGGCCATTTGACACAGCTTTTTTGTGACAAAAACCAGCTGGGGTTTTGGGCTGAGGTTTTGACTTTGTTTATTTGTAATTATTGAGTTAATTAGCTTTATTAAGTATCATTAAGTTCTAACATTGAGGTTTAATATCTTACTAAACTGGAGAAACAAATACCCATTAACCAACAGAAACGTTAGAACTTTTCTAAAAGTTGTAACAAAACTGATAAAGAAAATCTTTTTGCAAAATAACTTCACAGGAGCCTAAAGGATAAAACACAAATATGTAGGTAAATGCAACATAAAACTGCTAAAGTTTTTAATAAAAAGACAAAAAAAGACTTTTTATTATCATTTTGTTATCTAAGTTTTCTAGAAATTGAAATTTTCTGTCAAAAAATAAATTTGTGATTGTTTATTCTGTCAGAAAGACAAACTTGCGATTATTTATTCAGTCAAAAAAATAAACTTGCAATTGTTTACTTTTTCAGAAAGAAAAATTTGCAATTGTTTGTTCTGTCATAAAGACAAATGAGCATTTTTAATAATCACTTTGACGCAATTACTAATTAAAAAAAAATTTTTGAGAGGTTTTTGTTTACATTGAAAATGTATATTTAATATGCACTAAAAACTTGCTATTTACATAAAAGAAAAATATCCTTTTTTACTTATAATAAAAAGTGTTATAACTGTATTACATAATATTTACAATAGTAAGTATTTCATATATTAATTTATTATTTATGTTTCCAAAAAAATGTAATTATTACTCGATTTCAAACTAATTTAAGCAAGATTTAAAGTGCTTTATAGAGGCAACACCTTTAAACAGGTTTTTTACCAACCTGTTTAGTAATTACCTTACCAGGGTGTTAGCAATGAAAATATTTTATAGTGCATTTTTGCGATATTGGGAATATTTATTGTTATTGTTCTTCAAAATATTTATAGTTTTTATTGATTTTGCCTTGTTACTTAAAAAAAAAAGGTCATTGAATTTTGGGAATTTTGCAGTATACACGGTTCCATTGGTATGGATAACATCTGCTTACCTCCCATTTTTATATGCCATTGCTACATTTAAAGGTTGACATTGAATGAATAATTTTAAATCCCTTAATATATTAAATAACGTTTTATTATGCTTCTAAATTTTTTCTTGCTAATTTTTATTTTTAGAAGTTGTATATTTTTATATTATTTCTAATGGCTGTATATACTATTAAAAACCAAATAAAATAACTTTTAATGCAATACTTTTGTCTCGAGGAGAGGAAAAAAGTAATTTTCCAAGACAATAAACGCCACATAATCACCATCTTTTTAGTTTTCCCTCAAATGTTGTTGGTGTTGATTTGTATTTTTGCTACACTTTTATTGTTTAAATCTAATTTATTGTCTATTTATATCTATCTATTTTTAAAGTCTATTTATATCTATCTATTTTTAAAGTCTATTTATATCTAATTTTGTATTGTCTCTTTTGTCTTTTAACTTTTTTTTCGACAATAACTTTTTTTATAATAATATAACTTTTTTTTCGACAATATTAGGGACTTTACTCCCAATACTTAAGATTGGGACACAAATATCTTTACAACTTGACGTGATGGTGAAAAATGAATTGCATATTTGAAATCAAAATGAGAAAAACAAAAAACAAATTGTTTGCTTGGCACCAGAAAAATTTTTTTTTTTTTTTTGACCTGTTTTATTTATGTAACTGTTATTTTATTTATTATTTAACCCAATTAACATATTTTAGAATTTATTTTTGTATTTAGTCAATTGTTCATGAAGCTCCAGGAATATCAAGAAGTATGCTAAAAGAAAGTAAGAAGCAGGGAGAAACAGGCAGGTTGAGAATAAAAACAGAAGGAGTCAACATTCAGGTTTGTTGTAAATTTTCGGGTGATAATTGAAATCTGTGACTAGATTTTAAATGTATTTTTAAACAGGCCAAAAAAAACTTAACCTACTAGGAGAATAATTTTTGTGGAATTTTTTTGTTTAAACTAGTATAGTTTATATTATAAAATCTTATACTGTTTATAAGATAAGCACAGAAAAAATAAATTATTTAATTCAGTCTTCGATCAGTGACTAAATTTGATAATTTTTGAATTAATTTGAAAACTTTTATAAGTTTTTGATAGCCCTGAAAGTTTATACTTTACCAAAAAAATTTCATAAAGAATTATAGGTAAAATTAATTTTAGAATATTTTAGAATACTAGAATATTTTTGAATATTACTAAAAAAAGTTTTAAGTATTATATTTTATACTTCAAATGTTAAAAGATTAAGTAACTAATAGCAACAGTTAGAGCAGGGGTTCAAGGGTTCTTTACAACAGGCCTTAAGGACCGGCAAATATTCATTAAAATTTGTGTTACAAAGTTTACTGAAAGGCGAAGTTGATTTCAGCTTTGCCGAATTTGAAATAGAAAATCGGCTTTCAGTTTCAGAAAAGTCTTCTTTAAGCACAAAATCACTTGGTAAATCTTATTTATCACTTTCAAAAAATCCTAAAGGTAAAAAATAGGTGAATATTTAACTTAATATTCTTAACAATCTTTTTCTTTTAAAAAAATGGCATTCGAAATTTTAAAAAATGAACATTGTTAATGTTTTTTTGTTCATGTTTATTCAAAAACAACAGAGTTTTAAAGATTCCATAACTTAAATTCTCATTATTACTAAATTTTTAGATTATTATTTTTTTGATACAAATTGTTGTTTTTTGTATGGATATACTTTTTTAATAAATTAAAAGTTACTTTGCTTCACTTGTCTTTCGTCGTGTTTTGAATTATGGTTAATTAGGAGCAAAAAAAATTTTTTTAGTTTCTCAAAAAATGGTTAAACAGTAGCCCTGCGCAGTGATTAGAGCGCTTGCTTTAGAAGCAAGAAATCTAGGATTCAAAGTGAGCTCTGGGCATATTTCACAGCATCGAAAGGAGGTTGAACTTCCTAGTTAAATGCTTTTCCGCGATACTGACAAAGCCATTAGGTCTTCTTAGGGCACCCAAACAAACAAACAAAAAAATATAAATAAAACTTTTTATAAAATTTATAAAACTTTTTATAAAATTTATAAAAATTTTTATAAAATTTTTCTTTCAACAAAATGTGTTTTTAAAATTCAAATTCGGGCTACACCTATGGCCTACTTCAACTTTTAGTTTAAATTCGGTATACGCATATGATCTAAATTTATCTTTTAGTCAAATTCAGGTCTCCAAAAATTGACTTTGCCGATCTTTAACAGGCCTTGCAATCACACAACTGAAAAGACTGGAAGCTGTTTTTTAGAAGAAATTTGAAAATGAATTTCCTGAGAAATTTAAAAAAAAGTTATTGTAAGCACTATGCCTCGAAAGTGTCATTTCATGCTTGTCTAGCTGTGACAAAAAGAATAAGAATAAATATCGTTTACCAAAAAAACAGTTATCTATTATAAAGATAAATATTTATGATGGATAATTTCAATTCAAACAGATGTTGTTCCTGGTTTATAATATACTGTAGTATGCTCTAAAAATGGCATGAAAATATTAGTTTGATCATGATTAATTATAAGAAATGACCAAATACACCTCAAACATTTTATTTCATAACATTAATTTAAGTCAAATTCCAACTGCACCAGCAATATCTTGTATACCAATGCAAACATGTACCAGCAATATCTTGTATACCAATCCAAACAAATGATGAAATCATTACACATAAATTGACGTCAAGGAGCTGGAGTGCCAGGGTGAGGAACTTCTAACTATCTAACCTTTTAGTTTTTTTAATTATATATTGGATGCAGACCAATGTTTTTAAGTCATAAAGAGAAGCATTCCAGTGTACAGAGCTTTTAGCGTACAGAGAAGTTTTCTAGAACACTTCTTGCTGTAATGTTTTAACGCTTGTTTGCAGGATCTACATCATTACAGGATCTAACAATCATGTAAATAGACATTTTATAACTAATTTTGATACCATTCCTAATAAACCCTTCTTATATAGTTATGTCCGCTTATGGAAGAATATAATAACAATTAGCTTATCAAAAAGACTAAAGAAATCAAATTTTAGTTCCGTGAGTTTGAGTAATTAGTTGCTGATCAGAAAAATCTTGAGAAACTGAGATCATAAGAATTAAACATACTTCTTATATTATGTTGTCTTAAAGTCATATCTCCAAAGCCTGTAGAAAAGTGAAGAGGGAAACTTGTGTATTTTTTGTAAAGAAACTCTTATAGCTTTCAAAATGAACACAGTTATTAATCAGGAGTAAGTTGAAGGTATTGTTTTATTTCTGCAAAACAAAAAATGTCTGATTATGTAAAAAACTTTTACTTTGATCGAAATCATCAATTCATTACTTTTGGTGATTTTTTAACTGATCCTTAGGAGAAAGTCTTTGGTAAATTAAGGTAGGGTGTTAGTGGTGCATCACCAGCAACATATATTATACTTTGTTTCTAATCAATAAGCTGTTGAGAAAATGTTCACCATGCATTATTACTACTAAGATTTAATGCAAACTTTTCTGACTGCTCAGAGTAGGGGTGTAATAGAGGTGTATTGGAGGCGTAATGAAAATTTCAAATTTACTTTATTGGAATAGAATTGTTATATATCAAAATACATATATATAAAAGATGTGTACAGAGCTTTGACTCCTGCTTTAATAGGTTGGATTAGTTTCGATTGGTTTTCTGATAATTCAAAATGAAAGTTTTAATAAAGATCAAATGTGAAAAATCAGCACATTATTTCGAACTTGAGAGTTTTGATTCAAGAAAGCTTTGTTTTGATATTAAAGAGATAAACTAATCATTAATTAAAAGTTATTTTATATACTGTGAATTGAAAGTCTTAGTTTAAACCTTTGGCTCCAAGAAACCTTGGTTACACATCCTAAACATCTTTGTTACATCTCTAGCTCTAAGCATCATTCTTGTGATGAATGTGCTTGACAGCTAACAATTATTAGTTGTGGCTATTGACAAAGCTCTGTATTAAAA